CTGACATATCCGGTAACATTAAGGGAATAAAAGAAGCGGAAGAAGCAAAATTAGTGTTTCAAGCTTTCAAAGCACTTCAATATATTTTGCCATGTACATACACTATAATGTCTACGAAATGTTTAAAAAAGATAAAATGGTGGCTACTTACAGCCTAGAGATTGAGTTCATTTTGGAAAATTGAGAGAAATGATAATGAAAGAAGAACATATTGTTAGTATTTAAATGCAAAAGCTAAAAAACTAATATATATTTTTTCTAACTACCGCTTTATCTAAATGTTTACGTAGGGAATTTTATGTATTTTTTTTTCTAGTGTTCAATTTAGAACTACACAGTCTATTCTCAGAGTTACTTGGATTCCCGCATCTTAGAAGTTCGATCTGATGTTTCAATAAAGCCGCCAATAGTGTAATTGACTGGGACTTTGTACAATTCAAACTTGTAACAATTCAGTAATGATACAACTTTGGATAATTATTTCTTAATCATTATTACTCTGTTATTAATCATAACATAGCAAAACGATTTAATACAGCAACATTAAATTGTAAACTAAAACCTATATTTAAAGACACAGTTACAAAGAATCGAATTCCAAGCAATGTAGGTCCTACAACATAGCTAAGAAACATAGCAAAGAAACGAACGGAAAGTTAGTTAAGTCAAACAAGCTATTAATAAAAATGAAATTTATGCAGAACATATGATGCAAGTATTAAACATAAATTTTCGTGGATTAAGATCTCAGCAGGATCAAGTATGGAAGGAAATGTAACACATTACTTAGGTACTTTAACTCTGATAAGTTTTACAAGAGTCGTGTTATATGAGGTCACTCTAATTTATGGAAGATTTTGTAACTTGATAGACTGATGGTATTTTCCTCGTAGTGGCACGTTCTTGCGCAAAAAATAATCGAAGTAAACAACAGAATTCGAATGAATTCGTTTTCAATTATTTTGGGTAAATTGGCAATTCAGTGTCCTTGTTTCAGTGTATACAATGCTATAGGGATACAGAGAAGAGGACACGGTCGTCTAAAAACAGTTGGATAGCTCTATTAGCCTTGTAGCACCGTTCCCAACGAGACCGAGTGTTGAAAGCAGACAATTCTTTTATCCCAAGTCCATTGAGGTAGCTCCTGGTCTTCCATATGAGCTTTAACGGCGGCATAATAAATAGAGTGAAAAATTTCTTCCAAAAACGGCGGCACAGTAATTATAGTGAAGAGTTTCTTTTAGAAATTACTCTTTTCCCGTCGGTCACGCAGACTTGCCTTAAAACCTCGCCGGAGATCATTTTTGTCCGTCGAGGTGACCATTAAAACACTCTGTTGATCATCTTGCTCATTAATAGAAATAAAACCACCAATTCTAACTAATCAGAATTTATGAAAGAATCGTCAAAACGGCTAGCCAATAGGAGATCATGGCACTGTTTTAAGCAAAAGAGTAAGGTCATAAACACGATGCGTGTCAAGTTTTCGTAGACGTTACTTCTCTTTCGGGGAGGAGGAGGGGGGGGGTACAGATACACGTAGGCCGTCGCTAAGCAAATAGTGTTGATGAAATTGAACTCAAGGGTAACCTAACTATTCCTAGAGTCTGTATAGTGCCTACAAATTTCTAAAGAATTAGAGTGCCCTCATTGAGAATTGTATTTTCTTTCGACGACTAGAAGGTCAAGAGTGTTTCGAGATAACTGGGGAAAATTAAAATTAATGTTTAGAGAGGTCTTAGTAACGAGGAGTTAACCATTTACGGAACTCAAGTGAATTAAGGCTTGGCTGGCTAATTAAATATGCATAACATTCCAAAATGCAATTTACAATGATTTCATACAGCAACATTAAATTGTGATATAAGACTTGTCTTTAAAGACCCAATAACAAAGAATTCCAAGCAATGTACGTCCTACAACATTCTTTAGCTTGACCAAACATGTCACAAGCAAAGAAACGAACGGAAAGTTGGTGAAGTCAAATATGCTATATATAAAATTGAAATATATGCAGAAAATACGACGCAAGTGTTACACATAAATTTTTGTGGATTGAGATCTCAGCAAGACCAAGTATGGAACTAGATGTAACAAATTACGTAGGTACTTTAACACTGATAAGTTA